CTCAGCCTCCTGAGTAGCTGGGATTATAGGCACATGCCACCACACCCAGCTAATTTTTGTATTTTTGGTAGAGATGGGGTTTTGCCACATTGGCCAGTCTGGTCTCAAACTAATGGGCTCAAGTGATCTGCCCACCTCGGCCTCCCAAAGTGTTGAGATTACAGGCGTGAGCCACCATACTTGGCCATAAAAACCCAGTTTTGAAAGCTAAAATCCTCATGCTGTCTGGGGTGATGTCAGAGAAACATTCTAATGCAAACAGCAGTACCCCAAAGAGTTCCATAATAAAATAGAAGTGGTTTATATAGGATCATACTACCTGGGAAGTACAAGGAGGGACACTCATGTGCAGGAAGCCTCTTTTCCCCTAGAAATGACTCTGGAACTATGTGAGGAACTGCTGGATTCTACAGTGCCCAATAAATAGCTTTCACTTGCCTTACAAAGAGCTGCTTGGTTTGCGGATGGCAGTGCCAAAGTTAATTGATAACACCCTGATTGGAAGGCTGCTATTTTGTCTGATTAAAGAAGAGTCAAGACAAAAACACCGAAAGCAATTACAGCAGAAGCCAAAACTGACAAATGGAATCTAATTAAAGAGCTTCTGCTCAGCAAAAGAAACCTTGTGTGATAGTTAATATTCAGTGTCAACTTGATTAGATTGAAGGATGCAAAGTATTGTTCTTGGGTGTGTTCTTGAGGGTGTTGCTGAAGATGAACATTTCAGTCATGGACTGGGAGAGAGAGACCCCCTGTCAGTGTGGGTGAGCCCCATCCAATCAGCTGCCAGCAGGGCTAGAATAAAGCAGGCAGGAGGTGGGAGAAGCTGACTTGCTGAGTCTTCTGGTCTTCATCTCTCTCCTATGCTGAATGCTTCCTGTCCGCGAACATCAGGCTCCAAGTTCTTCAGCTTTTGGACTCTTGAGCTTACACCAGTGGTGTGCCAGGTGCTCTTGGGCCTTTAGCCACAGACTGAAGGCTGCACCGTTGGCTTCCCTACTTTTGAGGTTTTGGAACTTGAACTGATGCACTACTGGCTTCCTTGCTCCTCAATTTGCAGATGACCTATCGTGGGACTTCACCTTGTGATAATGTAAGTCAATTCACCTTAATAAACTCCCTTTCATATATACATATATCCTGTTCTGTCCCTCTAGAGAACCTTGACTAATATACCTTTCTTCTTATGTGCTATGGTTTATAACAATTGAATAGAATATACTTTTGTGAGAAAAATTCACCTTTCTACCAGAATTCTCTAAAATTTGGAAACTATTTGTATTCTTATTTTATGGAAATATCGTTAATTACATAAATTCAATAAGAATATGTTTTCTAACAGGACACATTGGAGCCACTGGTTATTTTGCCAAAGCTCTGACTGAAATGGTACATTTTCAAATATGATCTTACTTCTTTGAGAAATTGAGGTTGACTTTATGGAGCTGATTAAAAAAAAAAAAAAAA